GGGGGGGCGTTTTTGTAGTCCGATGAATCGTGCATATCACATACGTAGACACAAACACTCACACACACGCGTGTGTTAGCGCTGCGGAGTGGTGCATTCTTATGTGTATGTTGGCATATGCGTGACTAAGTGATGACTCAATGTCTCAAAGAGACCCAAAGACCAACACATGAGTGAACGCTGACGGACGATCGAGTAATTGCCCACCGAGGCACCAGCCACGTCTCATGATCAGTTGAAAGGCTCAACGAAACATAAGATGCAGACAGCGGTGTCCGCTGACTGTCTGATTGCCATGCCATCCAACTCATCTCTCCTCCCGATCCTGCTCTCATGAGCACACGCAAACGGTGAAACCATTACACATGAGCGAGAGATGACTTCATCACACATGTGTCTGAATCTGGCCACGGACATGGTCTGCCTCTTCCCACCAAGCAACGTCCCCTAGAATGTGCCCAACCAATATAAAATGTAGGCACCGATCTGCACATTCTCCGTGTGCCACGCCACGGTCCTTGACGTTGGGCCGCCGCCCTTGGCTCGCCACCTGGGAGTCGCCCACACACAGACGATCGCCCCTGTCCCAATCCCATCCCATGACGCTGACACTTAAAAAGACGCTGTACACTGTCTGTCTGTCTGTCTGTCTGTGTGTCTGTCAGTCAGTCAGTTAGGCAGGCAGGCAGGCAGGCAGGCAGAGGCCGACCTACGCCTGTGTACCTCTCTTGCGTGTGTGCCAGCCATGTGTGTGTGTATGGTGTGTGTGCGCCATAGCTCGCGTCATCCTGATGAGCGCGGGCGGCGGGATGGCGAGACGCTTCTTTTTGGGGATGGCAAGACGCTTCTTTTCCCAAAAAGAAGAGATGAGAAAAGGGCACCAATGAGCAATTGCCAGTGAGAAAGAGGCACCAATGAGAAAATGGCGGAGGTCCTCCTCGTCGTCGTCATCGCCCTCATCGCTGCTCGAAGGCTCATCTGCTCCCGGTGGTGATGGGGCTGCTGCTGCTGCTGCTGCTGCGGGTTCGCTCGGAGTGGTGGGGGCGTCTTGGAAAGGAGGAGGGGCGACGTCCTCACCACCAACAGCTGCTGCGGCCTCCCGCCTCTCCGTCATTGCCGCCTCGTAGCGGGACCGCAGGCGCATTTCGTCGCTCCTGGGCAGTTGGACGCCAGCCAGAGGGACAGAAGCGCTTCGTCCGTGGCCTTCTGCTGCTGCGCCATGGCCGCCTCGTCCATGGGCTCTTGTGCAGCAGCGGCCGTACCGGCGCCTCTACCCCGTCGTCGCCCTTGTGGTGCTCGCGCGGGGGGGCTGGTCTTGTCTGGGGTGGGCTGGGTGGGTGACCGGGGGCGGGTGGGCAGCACCTCAGCCGCAGCGGCAGCGGCAGCAGCAGCAGGGCGCGATGGCGGGCAGGCGGGGAATTGGAACTCCAGCATTTCGGAAGCACACACAACAGAAATCGATGATGGACTGCATTGCGTTCTGTATGTGTCTCTGTGTTGTCTGCGTTTCGCTTACTTATATCCTTGTTGAGTTCATTTATATCCTGTTATAGTCGTTGGAGCCGTCCCTCCCGCTGCCCGATGGTCTCCCTGGCTCGCGCCTCCTGCCGCGCTGTCTGGCGGCGGCCGGCCTTGGAGGCCCGCAGCACCTCGATCTGCGCCCGCAGGCCCTCGATCTGCTGCTGGCAGCCGGTGAGGGCCATCTGGGCGATGCTGCGGCACAGAGAATGGTTGGATTGGCGGAAACATGCATCGTATGGCCTCGCTGGGCGACGCCGTCCGGCTGTACGTCCGGCTGTGGATGGCAGGTGAAAGAGGAAACGTGGACGAAGCCGGGAGAAGCTCACAAACAGACCAAAACAAAAAGATGCGGTCTCAATTCGCCGCGATTCTCGCCGTTATTTGCGTGTTTTCTCTGTTTTCGTTGTTTTCCCTCACGAGGCCTGCCCTCACGCACCACATCAACAGCCCGGGGCAGATCCGGAGCACGGGCTCAGATCCGGGGAAGAACAGCCAGACAGGGTCGTGAAGAGTGCGCCAGAACTATTCGTTCCTTCGGTCACCCCATGTGCCAGCTCTTCCCCTCCAATGCATCCCCGGCCCCGCACCCTGCCAACGCATCCCACCCCATATTGGCCCGGATCACGGAGGAGCTCACGGAGGAGCAACTGGACGAGCTGAACCGCGAGGGCGAGATCTTCTCCCGCTCGTCGTGAACTCCTTCCATCATCATTCGAGTCGATCTATGTACGGCCCTCGACGTCTTCCTCAGACTGCTGCTGCGATTCATGGCCCGGACTAAGGCTCATCAGCAAGTAGCGCGATGCACGACCCCCACAGCAAAGCAGAACCCTGTGCACTCTGGGCCCATTCCTCTCCTCTGAATATATCAATGGAACTCTCCTCTGCCGCTCCTCGCCTTCCCCCCCTCCCGTCGTGAACCGTCCTCTCCGTTGGCACCCACTGAGCGTGCTCTACTTCAAGATCTGTCTACCAGGTGTGCCAATACTCGCTGTCTGCATCAGGTGTGCCAATACTCGCTGTCTACTCGGGCTGTTTCTGGTGCCGCACCAAGCAAAACCATCGGCTTTGAGACCTGAACCCCTGCAGCAGCCCCTCTGCCCTCAGCACTCGGCTATCCCGCCGCACCCCTACGCTGACGCCCACCGCGGTCTCACTCACCTCCCCCTCACCCTTCATGGACTCCACCTCGCCCCCTGCAGCCTCCCCCATGGCTGTCTCTCATGATGACCCCACCACACGTCGAGCAGCGCTGACGCAGCGCATCTTAGCCCAGCAGACTGCAGACCTTCCAGCTGACGGGCAGAAGATGGCGGGAATGGAGACCGCCATCAAGCAGCTGGTGATGCAATCTGGAGTTTCGAGCACTTCTCTGACCCTCGATGACATCATCAAGGTCGGCGTGGCGGCTGCAGTGTCCGGCTACGACATGGCCATGCGAGCGACTGCCGAGATCCTTCCCGAGGCCGTGGCAGACGTCCAGGAGACGACGGCCGACTCCATGCGCAGCCTCGATGACGCCGTCACCCATCTAGGCCACAAGCACGACCAGCTGCTCGGTGGCGTCACTCATGCGGTCGCTAACCTCACCAAAGTGGCCATCCACCAGGACAGCCGCCTGGACGCCATCAGCGGAAGGCGGTTCAAGGGCGGCTTCGCATCAAGAACGTGCTGCACCCCAATGACCCTCCCCTCCCCCCCGCCCACCTCAAGGCGTACATCTGCAGCCTCCTGGCCAACGCCACCCCCTCCCTCCCCCCATTCGACACGCGCAGCTTCGCGTGCTTCGCAGTGGGCTCCCGCTCGCGTGATGTCATCATCCACTTCCACGATGGTGACTTGTCCTCAGCCCTGCATGCACGTATGGAGAGCGGTCATGGCCTGCAGCTCTTCAATGGACCGACCTACCCGCTGTTGAGTGAGAGAACGGCTGGCGACCACCTCAAGTACGGATTGCGTCTGGCCGAGCGCACACAAAAGGCGGATGACATCTATGTGGGACCGGCATTGGCTGTCCCGTCGGCAGAGGCGCTCTCGCCCCCCCACCCCACATATGACCTGCACCTGCTCACGCCGCTCGCCCTCCCACGTGTGTCTGCGCGCGACTTCACGGAGGCCGTTCATCAGCTCAACGACGCTGTCGACCCCCTCCCCCCGTCCATCCCAGATGCCCGCCCGTCCTCACCCCCACCCAACCAACGCAAGCGCCACCGTGCATCACCCGCACGCCCGGCACTGTCGACGCACCCTCGCCCGGCGTCCCAGGTCCCGCTGATGCTGCCGGCGCCGTCGACACCAGCGGGAGCAGGCCCGTCGATGCACACACGGCCACCGTCGGTGCCTACTAGACCGTCTCGGCCTCGGGCGCCGCCCATGCCCGCCATGTCACCGGCGTCCGCGTCCATGCCATCGGGGGGGTACATGGCACCTCCGCCAGCACCGGTGCCGTATGCAACGTACATCCAGCCCCTCTCCTCGTGCGCACCCCCTGCCCCACAGCCCGGCCCCTATGCACCCCATCCGCAGCTCTTCCCCTCCAGTGCATCCCCGGCCCCGCACCCTGCCAACGCATCCCACCCCATGTTGGCCCCGATCACGGAGGAGCTCACGGAGGAGCAACTGGACGAGCTGAACCGCGAGGGCGAGATCTTCTCCCGCTCCGCCAGCAGTCGCTCGCTGGCCTCCATGCGGACAGCTACTAGCCTGCCGGGCCCCTACCCACCCCACAAGCCGGGCGTCATGTCAACGTGGGCTGGCCTCAATGCCCCCGGCGTCCCCCGTTTTCGTCACCAACGCTAAGGACAAGGGGAAGGGAGAGCAAGGAGGGTTGGGTGCACGCAAGATCTCCATCCGTTGGTTTCATTGTGTTGTTCGTCATTGTCAGCCGCTGGGAATGGTCGTTTTCGCCTGGTGGCTATATTGTATTCTTGGCTGGATGGGACTCTGTTCATCCGCTGCCCGTCTCGCGGGGCTTAAGCTAGGTGATACACAACACTCCCCCTTCCGCCCTGTTGTCTCCGTCCGCTCTTGGTCCGCATATGTCGCATCAGGCTCTTGCTGGTTGCGGTGTTCCTCGGCGAGTTTTCCGTGGTGGACACTTACTCGCAGCCTTGTACTGTGGCTGCCTATACCCCTTCTTTTTCCACCACAGGCCGCCATGCTGTTGTTTTTCGTATACTTCTTATTGAGTCTCTTCTCTGCCGTGCTGTTCGTCATTATGCGCGCGTGCCTGTACCTACTTTACTGCCCGCCTCGCTTGTATCCCCTCTACTCCCTTCCTCCCCGCCTCCCTGCTTGCAGATGGCAGCGATGGCGCCCACCCAGTGACTTGCATCGGTTGCATGCCATTCAATGGCTCATGCACTGCTCTCGCATCTGCTGGCTGCCCTTCTGGCAGTCTCATCAGGTGGCAGTACGAGTACGTATAGCAGCTCTGCTAGTAGGTGGGGAGGCGTCGGTGGTGTTACCCTTGCTGGGCGTGGGGGGAGACTTGGTAGCCACATTGTGGGTGGGTGCGGCGTTTCGTGTGCATGATGCGTGGTGGGAGGGGAAGGGCAGGCAGTCGAAGTGGCCGAGGTTGGGTGCGTTTCGTGTGCATAATGCGTGCTTCGTGTGCATAATGCGTGCTGGGAGGGAAAGGGCAGGCAGTCGAAGTGGCCGGGGATGGGTGCGTTTCGTGTGCACGATGCGTGCTGGGAGGGACAGGGCAGGCAGTCGAAGGGGACGGGGTTGGGTGCGTTTCATGCGTATGTAGGAGGGGGGAGGGGCACAAATCTGACTGACTCGTTGCATCTTCAGCGCATGGCGGCACCAGGGGGCATGCCTCGCGTCTCCTCCGATGAGGGGGGAGGCGTGCAGCCTGGGTCGCTCTCCTCATGCGTGCTGGAGGCACGGTCAGCTCATCGTACAGGTACAAGTCATGGTTCATTACATGTCGGCGGGGTGTCTGATTCATGCATGTTGCGTGCGGTGTTGTGTTGTGGGCGGGGGATGGGCAAGTGGTGTGCCCGTGTATTTTTGCACATGGCCGAGTGGCTAGCAGCACGCGGGGGGAAAGGAAGAGGCAGAGGCAGGGGGCGGGCGAGAGGCAGACCCATTCATAGACAGGCAGGGCCAACCAGGCGCACAGCGCCCATCTGGCGTGGGACGCGGCTGCCCCCGCCGTCGGCCCCGCCCATCCATGCATGGATGCATTGCGTCGATCGCCATGACGCCGGCCAGCTCTTCGCTGCCGGCCTTCACGTTTCTGTGTTTGAATATCCGGACTTGGCGGCGAAGTTCCGTGCATATGGTGATTTGTTGGATGATTTGTGTATGTGGGATGGGTGCAAACGCGTTCGTTATGACTTTCTTGCCTTTATTGAGACGAAACAGGACGAGGACGACCCGCCTGTGGCTCTCACTGGCTATACTTGCTGGTCTTCGCCGCGTGCCCTCTTGTATAGTAGTTCGGCGAACAAACAAGTCAAGTCGGTCGGGGTTGCATGGTACACGAGTACGCGTGTCACTCACCTGCTCACACGTCGAGAGACGCCACTTCGTAATGTAGTCATCCTGAGAGCGGACCAGCAGCTGTTCGGTCTGGACCGCCCGGTGTTTCTGCTTGCCTGCTACGTGCCTCCTTTCATGCGCCCCGATGACGACGGTCAGGGTGGTGAGTGGTGGAGTGCCTTCACCCTGCTGTGTGAGCAATTGGCTGAGGATGGTTATGTGCTTTTGTGTGGTGATTTTAACGGCAAGACGTCGACTGACCCTGACACTTTGCCGCCGTCGGATTATGCAGATATTGGCATTGATTCGACAGCACTGCACCCCCTTTTGCTTGATCCACCGACGCGTGTCAGTGATTGCTCTCACCCTCGTAACTGGATGGGCGTCTGGCTGCTCGCTCTGTGCAAGGCATCATGCCTTCTGCTCTTTAATGGCCGCCAGATAGGCTCCTGCCCTGCTACGAGGACGGCTCAGCCTACGTGTAGACAAGGGAGGAAGCATAGCGTCATTGACTATGTAGCTGCCTCGCCACAGATCTTCCTTCGCGCCAGTCATTTTTCTGTAGACGACCATGCATTTCATACACCGCACCGATGCCTGTCATGGGCTATCATGCCCGTTGTGGTGCCTCCATCTTTGACTAGCCTTCGTAGCCGGGTGCAGGCAGCCACGCCAAGGCAGGGCAGGGTGAGATACGTGTGGAGTGCGCAGGCTGTCGGTGCTATTTGTGCATCATTGGCGACTGACCCTGCTCATATTCATCTACGCTCAGCACATTCTGATGCATGTCGGCGTGGGGATGCCGTTCGTGCGGCATCCTGTGCGCGAGCACTGCTTGACTCACTGACTCGTCTCTTGCACCGGCACGGTCGTCTTATCGACTGTCGAGCGAGGGCTGCACGCACTCTCCTCAACCAGCTGGAGGGCAAAGGCCGCCATTTTGGCGTGTCTAAATGCCCTCGCTCCCCTGAGGTCAATCGTGCAATCTCGCGCGCGTCTCATGCCTAGCGTCTCATGCCTATCGTGCGTATATATATGCGCTACGATGTGGGTCTGCACATGATGCTGCCCGCACACTAGATGAGTCATTGCGTGCCCGCAGCTATCGTGATCGTGTCTGTCGTAGGCACAAGTCCGCTCGGGCCAGTGCGTTGTTGCGAGAGGTGACTCTTTCGCGCCGCCACTGCCCTCACGACTTCTGGCGCTTGCTCTCTCCCCCCGACACATCATCTCGGTTGCCTGTTGACTGTCCATCAGCTGATGTATTCGCTGGTGCGTTTGCCGCGCTCTTTCAAGGCCTCAATGTACCGTACTTCAATGCAATGTCTCCTGCGCTGGCTGAACTGCTGAATGAGGCGGTGCGTGGCCCGCCTTTGGCAGTCAGCTGGCAGGCACACCAACCCTTCACTTCTGCCCACCTGCATGCTGCCCTGACTGACTGCTCTAAGACGAGTGCACCAGGCATGGATGGGATTATGCGGTGGTCCGTCAAGTGGGGGACCCCCTACTGCATGATCTCGCTGCTGTGTTTCCACTTTCTTTCGGGCGTCTCACTGGGGATATTCATTTGATCGCATTCTCATTCATCCCATCCACAAGAAAGGACCCTTAGATGACCCTGGCAATTATAGAGGGATTCACTTGCTGCCTGTCTTCATGAAGCTGTATGATAATGTGCTTCAGTCAGAGCTACTGCGTCAGTCAAGAATATGCTCTGAGCAGGCAGGTTTTCGCACAAACCACTCCACGATCGGTCAGTGCTTTGTCTTGGCATCGCTCATCGAGCGGGCCAGGCGAGCTAACTCCCCTCTGTATGTCTGTTCTGTCGATTTTCGCAAGGCGTTCGACTCGATCAACCGTAGCCTGCTGTGGTGTAAGTTACGCGCTAGTAGCATTAGTGAGCGACTCGTTCGAGCCCTCGAGGCCTTGTATGCTAATGTAGAGGCTTGTGTGGATGGCGGATATGAGGGTTTCTCTGCCGTCTTTAATGAACTGCATGGCGTGAAGCAGGGCGGTGTGCTGGGCCCCTTGCTGTTTTCCCTCTTTGTTAATGACTTGCCTGGCTTCATTCGCGACGGACATGCATCCTCACCTGACCTTCTCCGTTTGCTCGATGTGCTCGTCTTTTGCCTGCTGTATGCCGATGATCTTGCTCTTATGCACACTACTGCTGCTGGGCTTCAACTTAGCTTGGACCGGTTGTTTGAGTGGTGTCGCCTCAACCGCATAGATGTGCACCTAGACAAAAGCAAAATTGTTGTGTTTCATCCTGATCGTGCGCCATTGAGCGAGGCAGGTAGACAATCTTACTTTGGCACGCCGGACAAGCTGCTAGAACGGGTGCCGTTGGTTCGCTATCTGGGCGTATGGTTTCATGAGAAGGGCGGGTGGAAGCATTATATAGACATGATGGTCAAGAAAGGGGTGGCTGCGTTAGCGGTATATCGACGTCGCCTTAGGCAGCTTCCTGCCCTTGACCTATAAACACGCTTCCACCTGTATGATGCCACAGTGGCGCTGGTCTACCTCTAGGTAGTGAGCTGTGGGCGGGCACTAACTGTGACGCTCTTGAGCGTCTCCATCGTCACTACTTGCTGTCATGTATGGGGGTCACTCGTCGTGTCTCTACTGAGGCCTTGCTGTGTGAGCTTGGCCGTTTTTCGGTGCTCTTCGAGGCGCGTTGTCGCCAACTGTCCTTCTATATCCGCCTGCGCAATCGCAGAGCTGGCATCCTTGCAGAGAAGGCTTTTGCTGTTGCACAGCATGCATATCGGTCTGCTCCGTCATTCCGGCGCATGCAAGGCAACGACGCTTACTTCTACATGCAAAAGCACAACACGTTCACTCTGTTTGCACGCACATTCGATTTCATGGGCCAGCGTGTCCGGATTAGTCAGATTGGCCCGCTGACTGCTATCGATACCAAGCACATGATCACGGCGCACACAAAGGCAGAGTTTGCTCGTATTTTGACCGAGCGATGGAATCGTGCTCGCTTGCTTGATATGCGTAACACTCCCTCACTTCCTCTGCCCCTCTCTCTCTCCGCCGAGGCGATATCCTTACTGCCTTGGCGCACATATGCGTGTGGTCAGACAGCTGTTACTCGTAGAGCCCTCTTTCAGGCACGCAAGGAGCTGTTCGTGCCATCCTCTCTATTCAATCATGCCTTTTCTGTAGCATTTCCTCGCCCACATCGTTCCTTTCCGTCTCCCTTACGTGACTGCCCGTGTGACATGGATTCGATTGTGTGTATGGCGCCATATGTGCCTGCTGCTGCGTACATGCATGTGGTGCAGTAAGGGCAAGACTGGCTCCATCGCCTCGTTCAGCCGTTGCCGTGCTTTCCTTCCTACCTGTCACTGCCGTTTCGTAAGCGTTGTGTTCTGTTTCTTTTTCGTATGAGCTGCTACCCTTCTGCCATCATGGATGGACGCATTCTCGGCCGGCCGCGAGAGGGCAGCGTCTGCCCGTTTTGCTCGCACAGAACCGACTTGCTCGTATCTGCTGTGAGCCTTACTGGGCAGTCAATCATCCGCCCTCCCATTGAGGATGAGTCTCATATTTTTGCATCCTGTCCACTGTACGATGTCTTCGTGACACACTGCACACAGTTATCAGCCAGCATGGCGTGACTGCCCTTGATGCCTCTAGTTATCGTCGGTGGCGGAGGTCCCATCCGATTGTGTTCACCTGTTGTGTGCTGCAATCGGACAAACTGCCGGTGCTTTCTGCAGCGGCCGACTTTCTTCTGTCAGCACATGCAACACGCACTGAGTGGCTTGCGCTTCATTCATTCTTGCCAGACAGTCAGACAGGGGCAGGTGACGACTTGCTGTACGAACAGCATGTATTAGATCAGTGGGCGCTCGACGTCGAGCTCTCTGACTAGCCTCTGCGCGTCATGCTTATGTCTGCCTGTCCTCTCCCACATGCGCAGCCGGGGTTCACAGTGATTTTTCTGACCATAATAGGGCTGGCATGTGCATGTCGAGTGGGTGGGACTGGGAGTGGGCTGGGTAGATAGGACGTGTGCATCCTTCCATGCATGTGCATGTTGCTAGTTTAGTGCGTGAGACAACAGGATCCCTCCGGGGTTACAGACACGAGTCTCGTTAAACACACTAACCAACCAACCAGAGGTGAGCAGAGGCTGCTTAGAGAGTGCGCTGGGCGTTTCATCTCCCACAGGAGGTGTCATTGACACAGCTGTAGCAAGGGCCGACAGACGACCCTTCAGAGGAATCGCTCACAGAGGATCCACACTACCGAGCACTGTGGTTGTGAAGCGCAAGCACGCGTCAGAGGATGGCCCAGGCGTCCAGGGGTGCGAGGGAGAGGGAGAAAGGGCCGCCAGGGCGGGACCGGGAGAGTGGCGGGCAGGGGCAGCAGCATCAGCATCCGCATCAGGCTGCGGTCGGTGCGGAGTGTGTGAGTTCGAGAAGTTGTTGGTGTGTTGTACCGGCATGGCTCGGATGGATCTGTATTTGTGTCCGAGTATGACACGTGCGATGATCATGCACCTGACGTGCTCCTCGGCGGCGCCGTCCTCGCCCAGCTGCTCGTGCTTCTCGGCCGTCGTGTAGAGGTCGGCCTTGGAGAAGGTGTCGGCAAAGTACGTCCCCACGCCAAACAACTTGCCGCGGTGACCACCCGCAAAACTGACAGAGAGAGAGGAAGACATGACGGAGGTGCCTGCCCTTGTGTGTGTGTCATGCAGTGCAGTTATCGGCCCACTCACCTGCAGTTGAAGCCCTCGGTGCAGATGCTCTGTGTCTTGGCCCACGAGCAGCCGTGGTACAGGAAGGCCTCACACACGTGACCCCTCGCACCATCAGCCCCACCACACGCGCCACGCCGCACCAGGTCGGTCTTGAGCAGCGGGTTCAGCTGCGACGCGTCACACCGCATCCGCACCAATGGCTCCGCCGCAGCCCCGGCCACACCCACACCGACCCCCCCAGCCTCCTCGCCCTTGTGATGGATCAGATGCAGACTGGCATACGTCTGGCGGTAGATGTCGGCGTATTTGCGCAGCAGCGAGGGGTTGGTAATGCGCTCGACGTAGAGGAGGTCGACCTGGGGCGGCGGGCGGAAGACGGCCGAGTGGAATGTCTCCCGGTGAGAGGTGAGGGCCGACGACACCATGAGCTCGATGTAGGTGTGCTCGCGGCTGCCCGGCTCCACCCGCTCGCACCGCGGCACCTCTTTGCTGTCGCTGTCTTTGCTGCTGTCGCGGTGTTGCCAGAATGGGGAGGGGAGGGGCAGGGACCAGGCAGACAGCGACCGGCTGGCCGCCATGCCCCGCACCAGGCCATCCG